TTTCTCCAGGAGTATTTGAAAATTCGGTACTGAGCATGCACATTTAGGTATTTGTTGAAAATAGTTAACCTTCCCTAACTTTTACCCTACCCATCCATGGTGTGAAGGAGACCAGACTCTGAGGGAGAGGTTGAAAGTTCTCCCCCTCTTGTGGTTTCCTGCCTAACACAGAATCTCCTCAGAACAGGTAGCCCCTTCTCAGGCTTCAGTCACTTTCATTACTATTGCCATTTTCTTCTTCCTTCTGAGCCACCCTGACTCAGCATTATGACAGAATATTTTGGGGTGTACAATATAAAAATCTTTGCAAACCCCAAGGAAACTAGGATGCCTGCATACATGAGAAGTCTATCCTTATCCCTCTCCAGCTGCCCTATTCAACTTTTTGTTCTCTTCCCAGTTGCTGATTGGGGTCTCTCATATTGAGCTTATAGAACATTTCAAGCCACACTGTCATAATTGCTTGGAGGGGAAAAAACAGTGAAAGCATTCTGTTCCTTCTACTTTCTCCTCTCACAAAGGAAATGGATATTAGGGATGTTTAAAAAGTTAGTGGTTAGTTCCTTGTTAAAAAGACAGGGAGAAGTCCAAAGTCAATATTCTTTATAAATCAATTCACATCACAAATTGCAGGATTCATAAGAAAAATAGAAACTCATGGGATCCCGGTTTAATTTTCTTGCCTACATTTATACAGTAAGTGGCAGGACTAGATCTAGAACCCCAAAATGCTTGGATCCAGAATTAATGGTTTTTCTACCAAGCATGAAGCTTTTTGTTATCTTTGCACTGGAGACAATCCCCCTGCCCTCAATCCACAGGAAAATATTAAATAGAGTGGGGGTGAAGCTGCAGGCCCTCTTAGAATCAGCCACTGAACTTCTGAATCAGCCCAACCTTTTGCCAAACCACAGCTCTGAAACTGAGGAAAGAGAAGAAAGGTAGATGAAATACAAGCCTCTTTCTGGTAGGACAGTGTAGTGTAGGGGTGTCGAACTCAATCAGAGAAGGGGCCAAAATCTAAAATCCAGCCTAAATCGCGGGCCGAATGGTTACTGAACAGTCATAAACTGTCATTGTGATGGAAACGCAGCGGAGTGCAATGATGACAGCGCGGTGCGGGCCACATTGCAAGGCCTGGCGGGACGGATTTGGCCCGCGGGCCTTGTGTTTGACACATGTGGTGTAGTGTGTGGGAACATACTTGGATTTGGAATAAAAGGTCTGCGTTGTATGTCAATTTTAATTTTAAGAAGTTATTTTAAAAAAAAAAAAAAAGATCTGGATTTGAATCCTGACGTGGCCATCATATGAGTCAGCTGAGGGTATTACTGGAAATCTGAGTATAAGATGAAGAATTGAGGGTCGTGTGACCTAACTTACCTTCTGTGCAGGCTATTGTGAGAATTCAAATATACATATAGTAAACTTGAGCATAGTTCAATTATTTGGCATGTGAGTCAATAACCACTTAGGATAATAGCCAGTATGAGGTAAATGCTCAATAAATGCTAGCTTTATTTAATATTCTAACATAGTTCTCAGTCTCCATTTTCAAACCATCCCTTTAACTCTATTTTTTTTTCATCTTCTCTACTATTCTGTAGCTCCTTTCTCTATGAAGTGTTTATAAAAAAAGAAATAAGATTTTAGATCTTCAAGAGATCTCTGATGTAGGTCCCAGATATTGCAATTTTCCACTCAGGTAATATATTGGCTCATGGTGTCTGATGACAATTACTTAAAAGGAGCATTCATTGAGGAAGTTAGGTTTCAAAAAGTCTTCAGAATGCGCACACACACACCAAAAACTCTACTAAGATTAAAAAAAGACCTTTTATTTTTAGGTAATTAAATCAACCATTAAAATTTATTTGCAGGAGTCAACTATTTATTGTAATATACCAATGGTATTTAAAATCAGTGCAGTTTGTAAACAAAATGAATTATTATTTTTATAATAAAGTACTTACAATTTCAAATAAAAAAAATTTTCTGAAATCTTGAGGTGAAAGTAGCTTGATTATTGTCTTCCACTGATATATATTTAAAGACATTCTCAAGACCAAATTCATGTAGCAATTTACACTCAAGGCTGATTAAACTATACTACTATATTTTATTTGATAGTTTGTAAAGTTTCTCTGGCATATCTGCCCATCACTTTTCTACCTTCTATATATTAATGTCTGTTTTTATACATTGTGAAGGGACAGAGTATTCTCAGTAGGTAGTTCAAAGTGATGGTTCTGCAGTGGTGACAACAGTGAGTTTTAAGTCTAATCGCTCTGTTACCAGAACTTTAGCTTTGTATGATCTGCTGTGAATTTCTCAATATGTGATATGAGGGACCCAGCATTACCATAAAAGCTTATCTCTGATTTAACAAATGTTTCAAAGCCCCTTGGAAAACATCCTGTCTTCCAATCTATTATTATGCAAAGTTTAGAAAAGGCCAACACCTTTAACTATGTGTTATTTACTCCTATTTACTTATGGGTCATCTGCATAGCCCCTATGATCCCCAGTTTTTATGGCAGAAAGTGCACTCTAGAAAAATGTTCTGCTAATTGCAGAAAATTTGACACACTGACATGGCAGCAAACTGGTATTTACTCCAAAACACTCACCGATCTGCCACTGCACAAAAGGCTGAGATGTCAGCAGTGGAGGCTGATTGATAAAGTTAATGCAGAGGTCCTGGATTATAGGGAACTGTTGTATAACAGCATCGCATACTGCAATGTTGTGTGAATCCTTGCTATAATGGAACCATATTTGCAAACCAGTGGACAGCGGCCACAGGAACAGAGGCAGGAAAGGTGTCTTCGACATGAATAGTTGGACGGTACTCCTCATTTGTATTCATCCATAAAGCGCATACCATCTCATCACTGCTGTCCTCAGGCAGTGAGAAGGTCTGAGACTGTCCTAAAAACTCACCCACTCTCATTTAAAATCCCTCACTCTCCGCCATCCCTGAAACAGCCAATGACAGAGCATGATGGCCACTACTTGCACTGTGCCTTCCCCTTCCTCTCCGGACCCTGTCCAGCAGCAGCCCGTGGCTTTCCCTGGCTGCTGGAGGCCTCCATCCACCTGCTCTTTGCAGCAAACACCAAAGGGAGCAGTAGCAAACCTGTAAATCCTGACCAGCAGAGAAGGTGCCCAGAGCAAGTGGCAGAGGCTGCAACCAGTGAGGACAGACGGACTGACAACAGGACAGACAGACAGCACCATCAGACACCATCCACTACTCCCAGCCTCAGGAGAGGGGCAGCCTGCAGCACCAGGGACGTCGTGGCTCTCGATGGGGACGGGCAGCAGATGAACCAGGGTTTTGTGCCTCCCTCAAAGCAGCAGGCTTAAAGTATGTGGGGTTTAGTTTTTGGATGAGAAGGAGCAGGGAATTCAGAAACCTGCTGCTCTGGATAGAAAGAAGCAGGCCAGCTCTGGCCTTCCAAGTTAATGGCCTTTTCTGAGTCTACAATGGAAAGGGCAGTGATGACTGGATTTCCACACTTTTGCGGTGACACGGCACCCACAGCTCTCCCACGATAGTCCCCTCTCCCATCTGGGTGGCGGTGACACTGGCGGGGACCCATCTGCCTGTGAAGGCAGCTCCCTCCATCCCTGTCCCGGGAGGCACTGCTGCACGGAGGGGAAGCGGAAGAACCCTTTGGTGGCAGCATCTTCTCCTCAGGAGGCAATCCTAGGGGGTGAGGAGAGCCACGCTGGGTGTGCTCCATGCCTGGCTCTCACCCCCCCTTCCCTTCTGTGCCTGCCTCTTCTTGGCTGTTCAGCTAACTCAAGACGCAACAGGTTCCCTTTGGCTCCTCGTGCCAATCCTGTGCCCCCCGATACACTCCTGTCCCTGGCAGGGTTTCTAAATCCCCTCACCCCTGAGGTGAAAACTTTCCTGAACGCATGAAGACCTGCCAAGGGAGGGCAGGGTGGAAGTCCCCTTCGGCTCCACGCTAGGTGTGATGCTAAGGAGCAGCAAAACCGACTCCGGGTGCCGGGACCTTGTCAGAGCACAGTGTCACACACTTCTGCATCACCAGCCACGGGCCTGTCCCCTCCCCAGACACCAGGCACTGGATAGGGATCCCCTTGAGGGGCTGATGGGCTTTCCAGAAGCGGAGATGTAGGCACATCCCCAACCCCCTATGGCACTGCTTGCACCAGGATCTGAGCAGGCCGGGGAGGTCTCTTGGAAACCAGTAAAGAGGAACCTCTATTTTATGCACACCAGACTCCCTCCCCACCGGCTTCTCCCATGATGACAAACTTTGCATTGCCGATGGCTTCACATAGATGTAAGAAAATGGGACTGCACACAGGGATTTTGTGTCAAAGGCTGTGCAGAGAAGGTTAAAGAGAGTCTGGGGAGGCAGGTTCCCAAAGATGGCAACTGCCGCCCCCAATAAAGACCCAGCCTTGATGTGTGATTTGAATGAGTACCAAAATGAACACTAAAAATAAGCATTTCTTCCCCCGTCTGTAAATACTGACACCCTTCAGTGGGGTAACCCAGCCTGCTCAACAACTCCACGAAGAGCAGAGGAGCTATTCTCAGCACCGCCTCCTCCCACCTCCTCTTTCCTTCCACTCACCCCCTGCCCCCTATCCTGCTCCCAACCCAGGTCCCTTCCACTTGGGTGGGATCAGCCCTTCTCAGCTTCCGCACATCCCAGCCCCAGCCAGGGTGGTCGCTGTCCACCCAGCCCTCCTCTGCACCCCGGTCTCCAGCCACCCTCTCCTGGCTCCTGGGCTCTGGGGCTCGGTGACATCCTCTCCTCCCCTGGCTCCCCCTACCTCTCTCCTGCTCAAGCCCAGAGCCCCCTGGCCCCAAGGAGGGCGCCTCCGCCCGCACCCAGCACCCTCGCCCGGCCCCCTCCCCCACACCCAGCCCAGAGGGTTGGGTGGGTGAGTGAGTGGTGAATGGACTGAGGGAGGCACGGAGGCTCGGGGCGGCGTGGCTGGGGGGGTTAGCTTACTTGAGCATGGCTTCTTCTTTTTCCTCCTCTTCCTTCTGCCGGTCCATCACTGCCATGATAATGTTCCTCTCCTCCTCGGTCAGGTGGCTCAGGTCGGGCAGCTCTTGCATGGGGGGAGGCACGGTGGGTGGGCGAGCACCGCGGGGCCCCACGGCCGAGGACATGGTCGTGGCCTGCCCGCCCCCTCCTCCTCCTCCTCCTCTTCGGGCTCGGGGCTCTCACCTTTCGGATGCAGGATGCTCGCCCAGCGGCGCCCCCGCCTCCCTTCCTCCCCTTCCCTTCCCTTCACAGCGGAGCCCTCCGGGCGGCGGCAGCAGCGGAGCCGGGGAGGCAGCGAGCCCAGGCTCTCATGGCTGTTTGCATCCACCCAGCCCCGGATGCTGCCTTTGTGTGGGGCGCCCTGGCGGGGCTCGGGGCTGCCCGGCCGCCTGCCTCCCGCTGCCCAGCCTCAGCCGCGGGGGCGGCAGGCAAGGGGCGCGGGCTCGGCGATCAGGGCGGTGTGCGGGGCGGGGGCGGGGCCGGGCCGGGGCCGCGGCTGCTGCTGCTGCTGCTGCTGAGGCTGAGGCTGCTCCCAGCTCCGCTGCCTCCAGTTCGGGGCGCCGGGAGGGAGAGTTTGGGTGTCCGTTAGGCGGAGTCTCGGAGGCTCTGCGCCCGGGTGATGCTGCTGCTGCTGCTGCTGCTCTTGCAGACGCGGCTGCCAGTAGCTCAGTCCCGGAGCCGCTCCGCCCACGGGCACCCACCCGCCCGCCCACTGCCTGGGTCCGAGCCTCGGAGCCCCGGCCGCTCCCCCCGCCTCCCTCCCGCCCCTCGCCCCACCGCGCGCTCACCAGCCACCGTGCGCCCCACCTCACTCTCTCTCCCCAGGTACCCCTCGCCCGTGAGTCATCCTCCCTTCCCCGTCTCTGGTCTATGTCATCCTCTCGCCAGCCCTGTTGGTTCCTGGGTTGCGTTAATCATCCTCATCCTCGCTACCATTCAGAGGATTGGCGCACCCACTGTGCTCTGGGCAGCTGGATAGAACGCCTCTGGGTGCATTTCCCCCATCCCCTGAGACCATATCCTTCTCATGACTAGTCCAGTATTTCTATAGCCACAACAATGTGATTTTTAAAAATAATTTATATGTATACACACACCTCCACCAGCCTGGATTTTTCTGGGTGCACTGAATGCAGTAGCTTTCTCGACCCATCCTGGGTAGGTTCCGCAATTTATCCTAATCCTCTCCCCCCCTCCCCCCGCCCCCGCAACTCAGCAACTCTTTAATTTGTCATTTGGGGCTGTGGGTAGTCCTTTCACATCACTTCTCTGATGCTTGCAAATGAATTGCCTACTCTGGTTTCTCATGATGCTCACTCTCCTCAGGGACTCACTTCTTAGCCTCTCTGGGTGCTTCTCCAGGAACACGGATCTCAGATAAGAAAAACACCCCACCTATCACATGGTGAGAAGCTGCTGCTCAGTGCCTGGCCCAATGATAGGCATTAACATGAGCTCCTCTTGCTGATAAAAGGCAAAAATAAACAATGTTATCAGTTTTGAAAACCGAAGATTAAATTTTCCTGATATACCTATGGAGAAGGATTCAAATTGTACGACAATTTAAAAAAATCAATAGTGATGAGGGAATTGGGGAATTGGTATGCTCCCTGTCTGGGGAATTCTTTTTATAGTTCCAGGAAGAATCTAGCACTAATCTTTTCTTTTTCCTCTAGGCCTAATTTTGTTAATAAAGAAGAAGATGATGATATTTATGAATCCTAAAACTCCTAAAATCTTTAATTTTAGGGAATTTAAGGTTTTAACCACTGGATCTCCCATTGAATACAGGTGTTGATTCTACTTGGAGACATCTGTTTGAATATTTTCAGTAATAGAAGGTTTACATCTTAAGTCTATTCCTATGTCTAAATCCTTCTACCTAAAACATTTTCAACTGTTTGAAGTGTTTGTCATGTCATCTTCAATTTCCTCCAGAGTAAACCTTCCCAATTCATCTTACCGGTAATGGTGTAGAATGATTTTAATGCTGGTATTCACCAGCCTTTGCACCCACTTGTGTTTTTTCACCAGCCTTCCAAAGCAGTGAAATCAAGAATACATGTAAAGAACCAAAAACTGGCTATTGGCATTTACTAGTGCTTTATAATCATTTTTATTTGCACAACTTAACATTGGCTTAACTTTTTGGTAGCCATGTCAGTTATGAGGATATCCCTGAAATAAATACATAGACCACCATAATGTCCATTTATTTTTCATAAGTTCTGCTGCCTGAAAAGATTTCTTCTTTCCTCTAATTAAGCAATCGATGAAATTACCTTAATAAGCATCTTTTCCTCATTAAAAAAAAAAAAAGTACCTGTTTCTCTCAGATCAGCGTACTAGTATATTCAGGGAGACAGGGAGAGTAGTTTGAATTCTGGCTTTACCAGTGACTTTATGATCTTGGCAAAATCATTAATGCTTTCTGAATTTCTGTTTCCTCATCTGAAAAATGGGGTAAAGACATCCCCTCCCCCCCCCCAAAAAAAGAAATATTGAATAAGGAGACATATTTGGAGCATCTAACTACATTGTAATACTTTGTGGTACTCTTTTCCTTATTCCTTGCTCTTTCCAAGAAATGTATTAGGCCACCTCTCCATTATTAATGTACAGAGGGGACTAGAAATGTAGATGATATAGTCTTTCTATCAGATCCCCTTCTCTGCTAGTCAGTCTAGATATGCAACAGACAAAGGCCTTGTCCTCAAGAGGTTTACAATCATGTTGGTTGTCCTGAAATTCCTCTAAAATAGAAACAAAGGAATAAATCCTTTGATAGACAATAGAACTAGCTGAATGAAGCTCTTAAGACAGGGGCCTAGTGCACATTTAACAGTGGTGCTTTCATTTGCTAGGGCTGATGTTACAAAATTCCACAGACTGGGTGGCTTAAACAACAGAAATTTATTTTATCACCTAAAAATCCAAGATCAAAATGCTGGCAGAACTGATATTTTTCCTGAGGCCCCACTCCTTGGCGTGTAGATGGCCATGGTTTCTATGTGTCCTCACATGACCTTTTCTCTGTGCATGCCCTCCCTAGTACCTTCTACTTATAAGGGCATTGTTCCTATTAAACTAGGGTTTCTCCCTTATCACCCCATTTAACTTCTTTAAAGGTATTACCCCCAAACACAGTCACACCCTATTGGGGCTTTAACATATGAATTTTTAAGGGGGCATAATTCAGTCCATTATAAGTGGCTTCCATTTATAAAATTTACTTTGGAAAAGTATCTGGATGACTTAATGAAAATGTGTCTTGTCCTGATCATCTTTATATCCATAGCTACTTCCTTGGGCACCATAAGTGCATATGAAATCAGTGTGCGAATAAATGAAAAAAAAAATAGTGAATGAATTGACCAATAAATTAGTAGTTACCATAGTGTAATCCATGAAAGTTTCCCCTTTGTTCAGGAACTAATCTCATCCATTATGGAGGGGTTCAAAACAATTTCTAAAATCCAAGAGACATATAAACTTTATACATATTAACTTTCACAAAAGCAGGACTTAATCTGAATTTAGATAAGCAATCACACACCCAAAGTAGGTGTACCAAAGCATGTGGCACATTTTAGCTCCTAGACTCTACAGAAAAATTTAAATAAATCTAGAAAAATATGTGTAATACCTCTCTCCTAGAAATTCACAATGCCCCGCAACAAATAAAAAGCGTTAAAATGCAATTATTTACTTTAGTACTAAAATCTGTTTTTACTTGGTTTGGCCTGGCATTTCCTAAGTGTGTTTGGGCTGTAATAGAACTTCATTCTCTCCTAAAGAAGGAAATATGTTTTAGACAATCTTTGGGGAAAATTCTGACGTACAAAACTGATATTCAAAGATGTTAACCAGAGAGATTGTGAAATTTCCAATGTGATTCTCTTCATTCAAACAACAGTATCTGTAGAAAAACATCTTAAATCTCTGTTCATAAGATATGAATGAGGTACGTTTTTTCAAATATATATATTTTTATTTATATCAGAGAGGAAGGGAGAGGGAGAGAGAGAAACAACCAGAATTGAACCTTGACCCCCTGGTTCATAGGTCAACGCTCAAACTCTGAGCCACACCAGCCAGGCTGAGGTACCCTTAAAATCAACACTAACATCATGTTCAGGATTCTAGTCAAAAACAATGACTTGGACAAACTCCTTTAAAGTAAGTGTCTTGGCTATCTTCTCCACTGATACTATCAAACCATCATTTCTCAAAATAACTATAAACTTTGACATTACTGTTTACTGTTAATTTACTAGCTGAGATTATAATTTCAGAGTAGAAAATTACTGAAATGAAGTCAAATTCAAATCTTTATCATTTAAAAGTTGTAGTTGGCTTAATCTTGTCTTCCCTCAAATTCATGTCCACTCAGTCTCAAAATGTGACCTTATTTGGAAATGAGCCTTTACTGATAACATTCGTTAAAATGAGATTATTTTGTATTAAGATGAGTCCTAAATCTGAAGACCGCTGTCCTATGAGAGGAGAGAATGCTCAGACAGACATGGAGGGAAGGAGACCATGTGAAGATACAGACACACAGAGAAGAAGGCCATGTCAGAGAATGGAGTTATGGCACCAGGAATGCCAGGAGCCACCAGATGCTGGACGAAGGGAAAGGCAAAATCTCCTCTAGAGACTTCAGAGTAAGCATGGTCCTGCTAACACCTTGATTTTGGATTTGTAGCCTCCACACTGTGAGAGAAGAAATTTCTGTTGTTTGGGATATTTGTACAGTTTCTGGTACTTTGTTACCACAGCCCTAGGAAACAAATATAATAGTTCTGTGAGTTTGGGTGGATTGGTAAACCTCACAGAATTTTGCTCACCTATAAAATGGAAATAACAACACACACCTTTCAGGATTTTGTTTTGTTTTAATCTTCACTAAAGGGTATTTTTTTTTTTTCCATTGAGTAGAAAGGAGGGTGGGAAGGAAGAGAGAGTGAGAGAGAAACATCAATGTGACACAATCAATTGGTTATCTACTGAAGAAGCCCCAGTATGTGCCTTTGACTGGGAATGGAACCTGTGACCCTTCAATCTGAGGGCCGACGCTTTAAGCACTGAGCCAAACCAACCAGGGCACCTTCCAGGGTTTTGGCAAGGATAAAAAAAGTTGTGAAGATGTGCAGCATCTACTTTGTGCTAGACGCTGAAGAATATGGGAGAGAACAATGCATACAAAGTAATGGCCCTGGAGAGAAA